CTAGGCCAAGGTTGGCAACTCAAAAATAATCCATCTTTTTATCTTTTTTTCCATCACACCACCTCTCTACATTTTTCCATATCTTTTCGTAAAAAAAATAAAAAGTGCACTTATTTCGGTCATCTCAAACAACCTTACCTAAACTTTTGAAAAGTTTAGGCCTGTGTAGCTTAGGCAACAGTGAAAGTGGATTAATGGTTGAGTCATCTCTGCCAGTAGTAAAGGAAACAAAATAATTATTAAAAAAAAAAAAAAAAATTGTGATTGTTGTTGTTTTTCTTTCCTCTGATTCTTCATGTTCAAACCTCTACAAATATATGATAAAAGTGGTATTTATTTATTTTTTTGGATGGGGAAAATACCTATTAATTTATTGGAACAAACCTATACTAAAATTTTTTGTATAACAAGAAAAGAGGATTAAGGGTGGAGGAATTGTATATATACTTGCCCTTGCATCTTAGAAAATGCAAAAACAAAGCTCAAATCATATGCAGATTTGCGGATACGTATTTCACAAAATCAGAGCTAAATCCCGGAAAAAAGTGTTCAAATATCCAACTTGAAGATAGCTTCAATTAAAGTGTTTTAGTTAGTAATATTGCATTTGCTTCTGGAATGCTTTAGTTAGTATTGATTATTGTAGTTGTTGTGTTATGGATTGTATGCATACATAACTTGTTTAGCTTGCTTGCTAATTTTCTTGTTAATATGATAATCTCTGTATGAATTATACTTTAAAAAACTAATATTGCCCTTAATTATTATTATTTTTCTATAAATAGGGGGAACGTTTACAATCTTTGATAAGCCTAAGTTGGTTTGAGCAGAATTACAATCCTTAAATGTCATTCTGTTCACATATAATTTTAAAGATTCATTGTTTATTACGCCTCATCTTTGTCTGTGACAATTTCAATTTCGGACACTATCCTCATTCACCATATTTGTAGCTGCAATAGTAAGTTCCCCTTCCCACTGTTTGTATAAATTCCACAAAGAATGCTCAAAACTATGTCCCAAATGCCAACATTTTCTATTAATTCATTTTTCTTTCCTATTCATATTAAGAAACAGAAACTAATGGCTACCTTATTATTATTATTATTTTATGTTACTTATCTGTGGGAAACAAAAAATAAGAAAATATGTATTAATTATTGGGTTAAAAAGTGATGACCAAATTGATATGAGCATGGGCAGCCACTTGAACCTTTGTCAACAAAAACAGCTTGTGGATCTGCCAGCATAATGATTGGCAGAATATATCAAGTACCCACTTGTAATTAAGTGGGTTAATTTAGTTCTTCCCCCTTTTGTTTTGCAGAAATTGTCGGTTTGAGATTACCATTTTAACCAAGAAATCTATTGCAGGTCCTATTCTCTTTCCTCCCTTGTTTTGTTTGATTCATCTATCGCTGCAAGTTCTGTTTTTGTTGCTGATCAAAAAAAAAAGAAAGAAAAAAAGAAGATATATTTTGGTTCTTTTAGGCCATCTGCTCCATCATGTCAGTGAGCTAAATTAGTATGTATCCTTTGCTTAATTATCTGTGTCTTGATAATACAAGTGTTTATTTTTATTTTTATTTTTCCCTTTCTTTCTACTCAATCCACTTCTATTGATGCACAATGATAGTTAGAAAACTGCATTTATTTTCATTTTGCATTGATTTGGCTATTCTAAACCCATCAAAGATGTAAGGAGTTAAATCTATGGTTGAAATCTTATATTACAATGTATTGTAAATGTGTTGACTCTAATCTCCATAGTCAATTCATGCAATTTAGTTGAATATGAACTCTTAAGCTTAGAATTTATCTATTTTTTTCCCTCTTTAGGAGAACCATTAAGCTCTAGTTAACCATGTGATTATCTAATATGAGACTTCAAGCACATGATTTTGGCCCTTAAACGTCTTTGATTCACCAGTGAATCCTTTCACGATGAAATTTGTACTTTTGGAGATGAAAAAACTCATCGCTAAATGTGATTTTTAGCGTAGTGATTTATGCATTTTAAGGAAGTCCCTAAAAAAGAAGAGAGTACAAAATTTTCCATCTTTGAACATCTGATATGCCGGAATCTGGCATAAGAAGATCAGACTTAGTAAAGAGGTTGAAAAACTAAAAAAAGAAGTCTGCAAGTGATTTTTGTATTTGTGAAGCGTTCGCGAACACACATATTGGTTATCAGGAACTTCTTGGATAGACCAAATGATAAATCTCTCTTATACCGGCTTCTTGGGAAGTCTATACGGTGTTGCAGCTTTATTACACAAGCAAGTACAGTACACACACAGATCACAAGGGTTGAATGTAAGCACAACCAACAAAGTAATTAGGCAATGTATCATGACATTTACTTTTTCATTCTCACATGCCAAGCACAACACAACTTGAAGACATAGTGGGGGCCTCAGTCTTCCTGTAGTCCTTTCTTGATCATCATTTTCACGCATAGAATTCAAGCCAGTCTTGTTAATTCTTTGATTATATTAGAAGGTTCAAATACTTAATATTTTGCTTCAATTGATTTAAGATCTAAAAACTAAAGATTATGTGAATAGGTAGGCATCATATTGTGTATTTTCCAAAGACTAACTACTAAAGTAGCTTCAAATACTGAAGTAAGTACAAGTAGCCTGTTGTCGTGCATTTAAATGTGAGATGGGGAATGATTGGCTCAATTTTGTGACTAATTAAGCATGAGACGATTTAGCTCAAATAAATATTGGAGGATAATTGAATTGATAAAGATTAATGTAAGGATGATGGGTACTTTTATTTTTTATTTTTTAATCAGCAAAACATAAGGATGATGGTTGTGAGTATTCTGAACTAAACCACAAGTTCAAAAAAATTAATAAACTATTCAAGAAGTATAATAAAAAGAAAAAGAAGAAGAAAAGAGGCGGAGAATTCTATACTCAACGAACTAATCAATGATACAAAAGGAAAACTCGAAAGCACATACAACACGACAGTAGATTTACTTGATTTTAGTCGTTCTGTGTATTAGCCTCTAAATCCTCGTATGCAAACTAGTTTTTAGATACATAATGTTTGCTTGATAATCATACAATGTGGACAATTATTCTCCATTAACCTTAGCAACTAGTTAGTGTTTCTTTCCTTATCATCAACTGAGTGAAGGGACGTTTCTTTCCTTATCATCAACCGAGTGAAGGGACGTTGGAGGCAGTGGGTGGGGATGGGAGGTTCAATAAAATATCCCATTTTTTTTTATCAATATAGTACAAGACATGATTAGTAATTAGTGATTAGTAACTAGACTATAATCGAAATAAGGTCCCATTTGAAGATCAATCAAATTTTATTAGATATCCTCTTTAGTTAGTTGTGAATTATATCTCCTCTGTGCTTTCATAATAGGCATCCAAAGTACTTTTCAGTTGATATTTCACCTTTTATCCCACATATCTCAATGATAACGACGGGAACACTGTCAAATACTAAGTGTGAGATTCAACTAAATTGTATTACTTAAGTAACAAGTTGATTTGGATGGAGGGAAGGAGGAAGGAAGGGGGAGAGGTTTAAGAAATTGAAGACGAAGATATGGAGAGCTATTCCCCTAACAATTCTTTGGTTTATATGGAAGCTTCGAAACGTGTGTGTGTTCAAGGGTGTGAATCCTGATCATTGGGAGCTTTGTGAGATTATCAAAACTAGAATTGGGATTTGGCTCAAGTCCTCAACTAAGAAGCTGCATTTTTCTGTTTCTGACTTTTGTCTTTAGTATTAGGCAGATTAGAGTTTGTATTGGTAGAGATTGATTGTTATTTGGCCATTGTAGGTATGAGTTGAGCTTCCTGCTCTTAGTGTTAGGGTCTAGCTGTATCAATTTGAATCTCTCCAACATTGTATTCGGAGACCCTTAGGAGTGCACATGATTGGTCTTACTTTAGGTGGCAACATAGTTGAGATGCATTGCATAGACAATGATGCCTTTTCCATGGCTTTATTTTGTTCCTTCGCTTTCTAATAAAATTCATTTCTTTGCTGATTAAAAAAAGAAGTAACAAGTTGCATGGATTTTTTAAATAATGAGAAAGAAAGAAAGAAAACAAAAAACAAAAAACAAAAAAAAATTTGTTTTAAATAGACAAATATATCTACACAAAAACCCCCAAATTCATTGCATGATTTTGAATGAAGCATAGTGCATCTCTTAATTTTGAATTATATACCGTTTAAAATTAAATGTGTAGCATACAATACTAATCAATGTGATTCTTAATTCTGTATTTCAGCTTTGAAGTTCTATGCCATTAGTTCTCATGATTGGTCCTCAAACCTTAATTTACCATTAACTCTTATGAGATAACCACTAACTTGAAATATCAAAACTCTTTTGGTGTCAATTCACTCTCTTTTTGGTGTCAATTCATTTAAAAGCATCCAACATATTTATTTAAAAGAATGAAAGTGGAAAGTGGATGTATGATCGGTTGTGCCCTCAGTCATTTTTGTCAAATGTGGATAATTGAAGTCATTCACTTAAAGGCACAAAAAGTTAATTCAAAGTGTTTATATTTGCTTGAATATGTTCCCCAACGAATTGTTCAAGGATTGGATCAAAAAAGAAAAAAGTAATAATAAAAGAAAAATGATTATATCAATCAGGAATATGTGTATATGATCTTATTGTATCCTATCAAATATATAAATAAATAAACCCTAAAATTCATATAAAACCAGTGCAAAGGTACCCAAGTAATACTTGCCTTAGGTAGCTTATTTTGCACTGAAAAACCATATATATTTATAGTATGGAAGAGTGAAGGAATGGTTATAAAATTATAACTATTACAACAAATTTGAGACATGGTTTTCCATAACAACAAAAGTAGAAATGTTTCCATTAATGAAGGATACATAACAATCATTGATGAAAACAAACCTTAACTCTCTATTCAAGATGCCGAAGTTCTATATTTCAGATTAAATCTGATTAGATAACTAGTAGTTTGAAATATCAGTCACTTTTAGTATCAAATTCATTTTAAAACCATGAACTTAAAGTAAAGAGTATGGTGCATACTATTGATGTATGGTGTATTTCATTATTCATTAATAAAATTTCTTTTCTGCTGATAAAAAAAAAAGTAGAGAGTAGATTTATTACCAGTATGCAAAAAGAAAAGAGTGAAGGGGCAATTATAGGGCTAGTACTGTTACAACTGAGACTAAACACTCCTTTCTCAGTACTTATTTATCCAGTTTTGTTAGGTCTATATGGTATAACCATAAGAGGGTTCACAAGGAGACGAGATATATTCCACAACAACAAAAATAGAAGTGTTTCCATTAATGAAGGATACATATATAGCAATCATTGATGAACAAGTTCACAGTAGAATATGCACATATCTTACATTTTTTTTCCAAGTAGAAAGAAAAGCGGATAGCCTTTTTGTAATGGCATCCGCTCGAAGCACGCGATAATATAAGTTTAGCACAGATTTATATTGTTGTAGGCCTCCCATGGTTTGCCATAAACTTGAAAACCTGTGAATTGATGCTGCAAAAACAATTATATTTTGAGGGTTAGCACAAATTTATTTATTTTTTGTTTTGGGTGAAAAATGGGTAAACTTTTAGAACTAACCTCTTGAGAAATTCCAGGGTTGTGGTGATCATAGTTGAAGATGATGGAGGAGCTCAGATCTTCAATCCCGGGAGGTACGTCAAGGGATTGATTCATTTTGTGGCTTTGGGTACCGGTTTCTTTGCCATCACCATTTTCAAAAGTATTTGAAGACCCTAACCGGTTCATCATGTCATGATTCATTGCTTCTGAAGATAGTTTTGATCTCTTTACTCTTGTTCTCTCCCTCGCCCTTGCCCTCGCCTTTTCCCTCGATTCTTTAGCAAGAGGGTCAAATGCTGATTTACGCATTGGTCTCATCTTCTTCTCTTTGGAGGGTTTTCCCTTATTACTCCTCACCTGTTGATTTGCATCGACTGCAATGGCATCATCGATTCCAGACACATCTTCACAGTCAGAAGCAGAAGACGCACTGTTTATGCCAACATTACGGGTCTGCTTCATATGGGGAAACCCTTTAGTGAGCTCTTTGATCGCAGTTTTTGACTTGTTTAGTAACCATTCGACAGTTTTGCTCGCTTTATCGAAGCCCAGCATGTCCTGCAGGCCAAAGAACTCGCCAGCGACTTTGAGGGACAGTCTCATCCTCCGGTCCCTGGGACCTTGAGCAGTGTCAATCTTGCTGTGGCGGTCTTTCTTGGAAGATCTTTTTCTCGGCATATGTTGGCAGATTCGATTGTTCTTGATCGAATCTACCATCACAACCTCCTCCGATGCAGTACCCTCAACGGCTGTCATGGGTTGCTGCTGGAGAAAGAGGTCATGGAGGATGTTGTCGTCATAGGGAATGTAAGGAGAAGGAAGGTAAAATAAGGGAGAGGAGGGAGGGTGGTCTTCTTGTTTATAATTTGGGGTTATGTCACAGAAATAATGAGTGTAAGAAATGGGGTTGGTGTTGTTGCCATTGCTATTGTTGGGATACATTTTATATGCACAACAAAGGCCAAAAGAAAACCTAGCTTGTGAAAGCTAGTGGGAAAGTGGGAACTAGAAAGCTCGAGAAAGACAGATAACAGAAGCATACCAATTACCAAAGGATTAGTGTACCATCTCCATCCTTTTTTTGGTTCACCCGTTCAAGCAGTAGCAAAGACTTGAAATAGACTAGCTAGTTCGAGAGAGAGAGAGAGAGAGAGAGAGAGAGAGAGAGAGTACTGTGATGAATAGATATGCTAAAAAGGTCTAAAGCTTGAGAAAGACATGATATTTAGCCTCTCCTCCTAATAGAACATATGTACTTCAGTATTTTGTGTGGGATTGTTTATGTTTGTGTGTTTGAGAGAGAGAGAGTAGATTCAACTGAGCTCTATCTCTCTTTCAAGGAAGGACTAGGGCTTTGAGAAAGACAGCCATGGATGGGGGGTGGGGGGGGCTTTTGAATGAAAGAGAGAAGTGAGAGAAGGTGGTATGTTATCGTGATTGTAGAGAAGATAAAGAAGGCAAAGTAAAGGGCATAATTTATTTATTGGAGAAAGAGGGGGAAATGGATTTCTACATCTGAACTTTTAGAGAAAAAGTTGACTCGTGCGTGTGATTAGACCATATGAAAGGTAAAGGAAATAGATAAAACATTTGTTATGGTGCCACTTCACATGCTAGCTGCCATGTGGGAGATTGATGGGAAATTCCTCACCCTGCATAATAATTTTACAGAAACTTACCTCGTTTGGGAATAAAATGTTTTAGTAATATTTTAATTTTTTAATTAAAACATAATATAAAAAAAATTATATATTTGTGATGATTTTTAAATTTTTTATAAAAAAATGTGTAAAAAATAGAGAGAAAAAAGAATTTTTGATTTTTTAAGTATAGATTATTAATTTTTTAGTTTTTTTAATAATTTTTAAGCTAAAAAATTATGTTATCAAACGAAATCTAAAATTCTAACTAAAGTAAAGAGAGTAATGTGACAATTTATAGTGATATTTGATTTTTTTTAATTAAAATATATAATTGATAAACGAGACCTAAAAATATAAAAAATTATGATTGACTTTTACAAAAATAAAATATTTGCACGTCTAATAATATTTAGATATGTATATTTTTAACAAGAGAGTTTCAATACATGTAGTATTACTCTTTTTTTTCTTTTTCTATCGTAATACAACAATACTACAAATTGAGGGGAAAAAATCTAATAAATAGAAAACAGAATCAATAATTTACGTTTTATTTCAGATGTGACCAACAGCCCCAAAATTTCAGGTGTGACCAACATCTCCCAAAAAAAAAGAAAAAAAAAAGGGAAATTTAGTTATAAATCTCTTTTACCTTCCTTTCATTGTTTAAAGGATTAAGAAAAAAAAATTATACTTTTTAAACCCCCTCATAATTATAAAGTCTTGCATAAAAGACAAAATTTATTATTTAAATATTTTATCAGACTATTATACCTCTCAACTAGATCTTCCCACCTTTTCCGTCTCTCTCACTCATCCGCTCTACCAAGATCAGCGACAAACATCACAGATTTCACGCCCGGTAGTGGTGGTGGATCTAGATCTGGAATCAACAGATTTAGATCTCACAGTTGAGCAGAAGCAACGACAGATCTGGATTTTCGATTCAACAGCAAAGGCAACTTTGAAGACGACGACCTCGTTGACAGCAGCATCAATCGCTGTCGGCTTCTTGAGGTTTTTTTTTTTTTTTTTTTTTTGCAAAGAAAAATTTCATTAACAACATGAAATTAAGAGTACAGGTAGATGAAGTGCACCGAGAGAGATTCGGAAAGTACAAAGTACCCCTACTACTGCTACTCACACCCTGTTGCATACAGCGGTGTCGACGTGAAGAATGCTTCGGTGGAGGTGAGGCTGGAGTTTGAATATGGTTACGATGCTAATGTGGTGAAAGGTTCGGAGTTTAATGTGGTAAAACAGTGAAGAAAACGACAACTGAACTTGTGACGAAAGTTCTATCCTAATCTGCAGCACGGAGTCCGCGTAGTCTCTGGATTTCTCTACGGTTGTAAGAAGAACAAGAAAATATATGTATATATATATATATTTGTGTGTATGAGTGTTGTTGAACACATGTATTCTTTTCATTGAGATTTGTGATTGTTGATCGAGTTTTAGAAGTTTTTCTTCTCAATTAGATATGTTGATTTGTTGATTAATTTGTTTTTTTTTTTTTTTTTTTGTCATTTTTTATCTAATTTCATTTGATAGAACCAGAGTTTGCTCTATTTTTTGTTTCAGATAATGAGAGTAAAATTTTACTCTGATTCTATTGCTCTGTTTTTTGTTTGAGAATTAGAATAAAATTTTACTCTGATGTTAGAATGACAGTAAAATTTTACTGTCAAGAGGTAGTCATTGCCAAACACTTCAGCCACCACAAACACTGCCTTCGCTTTTTTACTTTTGTGCAGAGTAACATTTTACTTTTAGCTTCAGAGTCTCACAGTTTACTCATTTTTCAGAATAAAATTTTACTTTTATACAGAGTAAAATTTTACTTTTGTGTAGAGTCTAACATTTTACTAGTTTTTCAGAGTAAAATTTTACTTTTATACAGAGTAAAATTTTACTTTTAGTTTCAGAATGTAACATTTTTCTCTTATTCACAGTAAAATTTTACTGTTATACAGAGTAAAATTTTACTTTTATACAGAGTAAAATTTTACTCTAACATACACAGTGAAGATGGCTAAATAGGAGAGCTGATAGATATGAATGTAATATAGTAAAAGAAACAAGTTTTAAAATATTAGGGGGTTTTGAAAGTACTTATATAATTCTTATCCTTTTAAAAAACTAAAGCCTAACACCCAAAGGAAAAAAAAAAATGTACCAGGTGTAAGTTATGATATTCGTGAATAACTCAATCTTATGATAATCATAACTTAAAAAAATAAAATTATAACCAAATATTACATGATGTATAACTAAAAAGTACTTGAATCTCAATCAAAATAATATCATAACCAGTGGCGGAGTCAGGAAATTGAGTTAGAGGGGACACTATTAATTATAATTTTTTATTTAAAAAAAAATCATGATGAACATTAAGGGTTGTTTAGAATGATCTAAATAAGTACATTTTTTAACTTATTATGAAATATGAGTTGGATTTGAAGTGATGTGTTAAAGAGGTGATATGACTTAAATAAGATGATGTGACTTAAATAGGATAGTGATTTTGACTTTTTGACTTTTTTCAAACATGCCAAACCAGCCCTAAGATAATAATAATTTTATGAGCTAAATTTAAGCATAAAAAATTACATATTCATTATTAATAGGAACAAATTAAAATTCTATAATAGTGTAGAATAGTTCAGTACGGGATGGTGATGTAAGTTTGTAATTTTAGCACAAAAAATTATGGATTAAAATTCTTAATTTTAGAAAATAAAAACACATCGTTTATAGGATAAATTATTATAAAATCTATTTAATTTTTATTTGATAGAAAAATATTAAAGAGATGACATTGCTTAAAAATGATGTGTTTTAAATAAAAATTATTAAATAGTCTTAGAATACCATATAGTATTGCTTACATGATGCTCAAAGCATAAAAATCACAAATCACACTAAGCAATCTGTCAACTGCTTGAAAATAATGAGTTTATTATATTCAATTTATAAGATTTTTGGCTATACTATTGGTTTAAACTATTACATAAATAATACTACATAGTTCTCTCAAAGTATCAAATAACTACTTGTTGTGAACAATACAATAATCTTTAACCAAAAAATGTTAAGAAAAAAAATATATTTTGTATATGACAACAAGACACACAAAAACAAAAAAATAAATAAATAATAAAATAATAAAATAAAATAATAATTTCAAAACGGGGGAGGAGGGACGTGACACCCTCGCCCTTCTTTTCCTCCGCCACTGATCATAACTAATATTACAATAAATTATAACTAACACTAAAATGTTAAGTCATAATTAAGTTATAATTGGCACCCAATAAATTAAAATCACGGACCGCAAAAGTCGTAATTAGAAGACATGCGTAACATAGAATTACCCTTATATATATATATATATATATATAAGAAATTTGTGGTTATAAATCATTTCTCTAATATATTTTTTTACTAAGAAGTTGCATGGATTCCATTTTCTTTGTGGGAGAGAGTATGTGGGTTAGCGTTGCTCTGTCTTTCTTCCTTTCTTTTCTTCTCACAACCTGTGAGTATGAGATGTTTGATGGAGATACCTGCAAACACAACTTTTTTTCTGTGGCACATCGTGGCCACTTCAATTCAAACCCTAGACAAAGGACAATTATTTTAGCTGATGACATCAGAGAGAGAGAGAGAGAGAGAGAGGGCATTATATGTATCTATATAATACAGTGACGAGGCCTGGCCTCTGCCCTGTAAGGCAATTGATCCTTTGACTGGCTGTGTGACTACTCTTCTCTTCTCCCTGTCTCTTTCACTAAAAGAAAGTAGTAGCTCCCTCCCTCTCTCTCTCTCCACAGGTGTATTGTGATAGAATGTTGTTTTGTTTGTTCCTTCGCCTGACGCGTGCTTATCATATACCTTTTTTTTTGTTTTTTTTTAATTTTTTTATAGCAATAATATGTATTTACAAATATCTAGAAAAATATATAGCGTTCGGGTCATAAGTATAGTTTTGAAATTGTTGGAGTAATAGCATTATATTATAATCTTTTTGGGGAAAATTATTTAATATTTTTGGAATATTATGTATCTTTATTTCTTAACTAATCATCATTCAATATATCTTCTCATATTTCTCAAACACCCAACATAATATCTCACATATCCACATTCTCCACCAATCATAATATTATGTAATATCTCGTGTCAATACTCTGAGATTACTGAATAATTACCCTCTTTTGAAGGTCATAACAATTTAAAAAATTATATTACCCTTCTCTATATGTGTACGGATCAGTTATCTATCATTCACCTATAGATTCACTATCACTTATATATTTACCTAATTTGTCTATCTGTCCAAATCACCATCACCACCACCTTCAGGCAATGTCGGCCACCTCTGGCGGCTTGTCCAACCACAGTGGAGCAAAAATGAAAAAAAAAAATTCAAAATAATAATTTATTATTCTCACCAAACAATTTCATTAATCATGTTTTACAGCTAAAATAAAATAATCCTTAAATCTAATGTCATACACACCCATAAAAATGAACACGTCACCAACTTTTAAAAAAATCTATAAAATTTTAAAATATATTAAAATTAAACAAGTATTTAAAATTTAAAATGTATAAATTACATTTATTTTGAATATAAAATTTATACTTTACATTTAAATTCTAAACATTTTTTTAGGGTGTATAGTGTTTTTATTTTTATGATTTTTTAGCTAGAATGTCACATGAGTTTAAAATATTATGTGTCTATGTCCTTGACTAATAAATCATTTTTTTAAATTCTCTTTACAATATATAAGAATTTTAGAGATTGAGCTTTTTTTCTGTAAAAGTAAAAAATATATTTTCAAAAAATATTAGGAGACCAATTAAAGTTACCATGTGAGTTGTCACGGAAAACCGTCCGGAAAAGTCAAAAAAAAATTAAAACAAAATTTAAAAAATATCACTAATAATCATACTTATAGGAACCAAACAATTTCGTACCAAAATTCTTAATTTGTTATAATGAATATAAATATATATATTCTTCTATTATTAAACCAACACGAAGTTTCACAAAGACAAAATAATTAATACAATGTTATGACCCATGAAAAAGATGTCCCCACATTTATATTTTTA